GTTTCTTACAGTGGTATTCATCTAGCTATTGAAGGAGCAACCATGGCAGGAGCTTTGGATGAGATACCCCCGGTCCCTTTCTACATTTATCGTCAACCAGATAAGGTTCGATGGATGCCGTCTCCATCAGGGAACCCTGCGGAAAGGTTCTTGGCCCTAGGCAGCTGGGACTTTGACCAAAGAGTGAGCAGGCTGGAGATCCTAGCGATCGATACGTCACAGGAAGTTGTAGCATTCAGCGACGAGGCACAGCAAACTGCGCCGAGGCTGCAGGCTCCTCTCCGCTACTGGGAATTGAATGGAAGAGTGACAGACCTTCAGGTCGTGCCCCGAGAGGGCAATGATGTTATGCTTGTTACGGGATCAACCGATGGGCACATTTCTTTGGTAATGACGGATCTGTCGCAGAGTGCGTCCTCCAGCTCACAAGCTGCGTCCGTCATGCAGCTGCCGGCCATGCACAAGGGGAGTGTTACAGGATTGGACGTAGGACGTGACAGCCTAGATGTGGCCATGGTTGGGGAAGATGGGAAGATAAACATCATTGGACTCGTGCACGGAATACAACAGCCATTGACAACATGGGACATGCGTGGCACAGTGTCGTTTTCAGCCGTGCAGTGGACATCGGTTCAAGAGCTTGTGACTGCGGGAACTGGAGGCGTTCTGCAATGCTGGGATCGACGACAGGGAGGGCGGTCCGTTTCCCAGGCACCATTGAGGTGGGCGCATCAGGAGGGGCTTGGGGCAATGATGCATTGCATCGATGTACACCCGTCTCGCCGACATATCTGCGCCGTTGGCTGCTCAGGAGGCTCGGTCGTGGCATGGGATTTAAGATGGCAGCAAGAACCGCTTGTCCTTGTTGGACCGCTGCAGCAGAGCAGCCAGAGACGGAGAAGTTCTTCAGGGAGCTCGATCAAACGGCACTCTGCCGGTCAGCAGACTGAGCTTCTCATTGCCGAAGGTGATGTTTGGGAAGTGCGATTCGACAGTCTAGCACAGGGTGGTGTCAGAGCTGGGGTCTTTGACACAGATCGCAACAAGCTCCCTCCTGTTATGATGTGTAGCGAAGACGGTGTTTTGGCGTTGGCAGGTGGCGGGGAAGCCCTGGAGCTCTATGTCGGAAGCTGTGCTATTAATACTTTCGACGTCGATCCTGAATTTGGCCAGGATGTCATCTGTGGTACAGAGCACGAATGCCTCGTTTACCTGCGCCGGGCACGGTATGGTGTGGGGGTTTACTAGCCTCTGGCCTTTGTGTTCTTGCACAGGGCTTGTTCCTGAGACAGCACATGTCATCTCTGGTACAGCACACAAATGTGTCTGTCACTGTTTTTACATGCTTGTTCCACTCGAACAGAATACTAGACATCAAGAGGGATTTCGCCCCCCTTCGTGTTTAACAGCGAGGAGCCTCTGAGATTATTGGCTGAGGAGGTTTTGAGATTGCCCTTGGGGCCTAAGTGAGGTTTTAGTCATTCATTTTGCAGGTATTTGTAAAATTTGTTCTCCCCCTGGGAAACAACATGTCTGTTCTGGAGGAGGGGAGAAGGGGGGGGGGGGGGGGGGGGGGGGGGGGGGGGGGGGGGGGGGGGGGGGTGTGGGGGAGGGTGCTTGCAGAATGTACAAAAGGCGGTGACATTTCTTTTCTTCGCAGATACAAATGTGCAAAAGGTAGAAATTCTTGTTTTTATTTCTTTTGCCTTTGTTCCACATTGTGACCCTCGCTCCGCCTCTCACCAAATGATGCGAAATGAGAACGAATCTTTGGGTGGAACATGGAAAGATGCACCGCCATATTTTTTGTGTTTTGTGCATGTGGTGAGTGGTGGAGCGAGCCCCCCTGTGCCTGTGACGATTCTGCAAGAATCAGCTTCTTCCCTTGGATCTGGAGTACCGGCTGTGCTGGTGCCTTGTGCGAAGTTGGCACAAACATGGCCAACTTTTGACAGGCGGGTTAATTGTGACCCAGCACAAGGCAGTGTCTGGACAAGCCGTATTGGTGTTGTTATGTTTATGCCGAGCATCATTCTGGCTGGTGCAGCGAGAAGGTTCCGTTTGACTTAGGGCATACTCGCACTAGGGCTTTTGCAACTGCCACCGACCTTCACCCAAGTTGACTGGAACCGGTGAACCATTCGAATCTCCGGATTTTCAAATGGGGCAGAGGGCGCGTTGGGAAATAACCTTATCATGAGTATTGCCCTTATAAAACTCGCAGGCTCATCGCATGGGGGGTTTCTGACCCGTAAGTTGAGCGAGTGAAAAGCGGAGACCTGCTTGACTCATATTATGACCATGACCCCTTCCGCAGCTCATGGAGCAATTTTGCAACCTGGTGGACTAGTGGATTTCCTTTTGCGAGAACCCCCGTTTGTAGGGGGGGGGGAATGGCCCGCAGCCCGCCCTTTTGTGTGTAGTGGGGAAAATGGCATCTAGTCAGTTGTGGAATAATCAACTGGTTCTCATCTTCACTGACTTTGTTACTCTGTGACTGGCTGGGCATCATCTCCGCCCTGCCCAGTTTGATTGCAGATCTTGAAAGCATTATTCTCAGGGTCATCTCCATGATTCAAGCACCAGTGTTCCACCAAGGCCTGCTCCAGTGTGCTGCCGAGGCTGGAGGATAGGTTTCTTTGTTTGTTTGTTTTTGTTTTGTTTTTGAAACAACGGCGGACGCGGAGGTTTCATTAAGGCGGTTGTGT